GAAGCTTGAAAACTGCGCGTGAAGTTTGAAACTCAAGGATTGTGATCATGTATATAGAATAGTTCGTGAAAACAGAGGTTTCGGCTTGTTATCAAGAAGTCGTTAAAATATATAAAATCACAGATGCTCCAAGGAGGACGCACCTGACAGTTTTGTTTAAGCTGCGATTTTTTAGAGGCACAACTTCAGTGATAAATTCGGATGTTAACATAAAAGCAACGAGTAAACAAATGGAATGACATTTTCTTACCACGTTTTCAGACAGTAGCAATCATCGTGTGTGGTCGTAGCGTTTCATTATTGAATTTACGTAATCAACAATTTGCAGTTACAGCTCGTGACGAGTTTGTGTCTCTTTGTCATCGTGAATATCACATTCTTCCTTCCAGCTAAAGGAATCACCCGGTTTCATGAAGCTGCAACTGCTATCGTTAATTTAAGAGCATGGAGGTGTAGGGCTTCTCTCCTATATTGCCTAATGGTTTCCTGGAAGAAGAACTTGAAATGAGGACGAAAATGCACTCCGCTTGATCGATTGATTGTCACTTAGATTAGCGACTTAAAACAGCCGAAAATAGAAATGTAGTGATCTTTCGAGATCCATAATAAACGACGGTTTCAGTTAGTGTGACCAGACACATCCATAGCGGTCGGAATGTTAAACATTGCACAACCAAACAATGATAAGTGCCCGTTGCTCTAAATAGTTTGCATAATTTAACACAGTCGAGCAGTCGGCAAACCAATGGCTCAGTGTTCGAATAAGAAGAAAAATTATTGAATTTATGATGTCTTTAAATTCAATAACATTATCAGTCTTACTTCTTTGTAATTCGCTTGTTTGCTTTTCATTTCATAAAACATTCCATGCTATGGAACTTATTTCCATCCATTCACAATGTAATTAAAATGTCGAAATTTAATAAGTCAGTCAATTGTTTCAATGAATATTTGTGCCAAGATTAATTTGATACTGTATAAGTAATGTTTCAAGAAGAATTTAACCTTCACTAGACTTAACCCTTCTTTTTTTGTGCAGCTATATGCGGGAAACGAAAAATTTTCGATTTGAAAACAAACTTAGTGTGTTCAATCCATTTGAATATCGTACTAATTAATTTAATATTTATTCCACAAAGTTTTTTTTACGATTGCAAACAAATTCGGTGACGACGTCAAATACTGTTTACTGAAACTATTGTGTCTAAAATTTGCTTCCGACATGCATTTTCGGAAGAAATGATTTTGAAAAACAAATTATCTTCATATAAGAGAAACATTAGCTGAAATTCTGATAATGCGTAGTGCTCATAATGAGGTCTAATTCAATTTCCATTTGATGAGCTTGCCATCCTAATATTATGATTTCCAACATGTTCCAAAATTTCAAAAAGCTGATAATTTTTTGATGAGGTAAATTTCGATTACAGTAGCAGCTAGGCGAGTGTATGCCGAAGAGAATGATGAAGTGTCAGTTGTTAACACGACTGCACAACATTGTCATGCGCAACAACACGCATCGTTAGCAAAACAGAGTTCAAGTGGTTTGAATAATAATGAAACTCATTCTCGAGGATCATCGCAAGGTTTCCTTTTCTATTTCTCATGCCACATTTTAATTGTTGGGCTTTTTGTGCAAGCGTAAGCACTGAATGATTATGCATATTTGATTGCAGATCGTTTTGTGGCTGTTGCTGAAAACACAGTGCAAGAAAATGATTCGCCAAATGTGCCATCCGAAAAAAAAACGACAAGTGAATTATTTGTAGGATCGTTTTCTGAGGACGATAATGTCGGTATGGTTATCCATTTGTTCATCGTTTTCCATCTTGTTCAGACAATGTGGCGATTTTCTGAAAGGAAATTTTTTAGAGTTGCAACAAATGTTTTAATAAATTTCATTGGAATTGCGCAAAGCAAGCACTAATTTTGCGTTCTCTCATGAAGTGTTGATCACCTAATCAAAGGTGATCACTTCAGATAAAAGCTGCGTGCACTGCTAGGTCAATGGTTTAAATAGTTTGTTGATTTTCGCATATCATTTCACTTTAAGAGCATTTTCATTTGAAAATTCTTTAAATTGACCACTTAATCAATTGGTAATATCACTTCAGGTATGCTATGCTCTGTTTCATTAGTAATCTGCAAACTTTTATTCGTATTCAGTAGATGCAGATGTGATCTATTAATGAGAGTTAGTTAGTAATGAATTTTCAAGTGAAAAGGTTCGATCGATAGAATTGACGAAAATATGTTTTTTTCTTAAACAGACAACGATGTGTTGATTGATATTCGTTTTGCTGATTTATATGAATTGTATTCAAAATATATTCAACAAAAACATTTAATTCGAGTTCTATTCGTTTGCTAAGTGAAACGAACGTATTTTGGGTTGTTTCATATATTGATTTTCATTTCATAAGCAAAAGAAAAAGATAGATAGATAGACTTGAACGTGTTGTTCGTTGAGTATGAGTAGTATATGTAAAGTAGTATTATATTATGTGTGTCTGCGGCAGTAGCAGCAGTGTAATTGCAATGTTTCACACTTTATACTTATACTTTTCTCAATCAGTTTGTTTATCTCATACTCGTAGTGCTTTCAGATACGATTGCAAGTTGTTTTTGGTTGGGAAAAGAGTAAAGTTATTTTGTGTTTTGCATTCGATTAGTCAAGTTTTTTCTTAAAATCAAAATGCGCTTGTGCTTTGAATGCGAATCAAATAGGTACAACTTTTTTTGCTCCGTTTGTGTTATGGATAACTCATTATTTGGTATGTCATTAGTTATTCGATTCTATGGAAGCTCATCCCAGTCGTATCGCAAAGATAATGTTGATGATGAAGTTAAATTCATCCACTTACAGCGCCGTCTGTCTATAATATCAGTTACATGCGTTCGTTACAGCTATACATACGCGTACATTTATTATTGTATTTAATATTATAATGTCCAGTGGTGCAGTATTTTTTGTTCATAACACATAGATATCATCATGTCCGTTTGTATTTTCTAAATTTTTTACTTTCACTGAATTTAATATCAGGTGCGTGGGAAGAAATTGAACGTTATGTGTTATTTTAAACTGTCTGAAAATATCGCATTCATATAGAACATGGCTTGCATTTGTTTGTTTGCTCGCTTTTTTAGAAGTGGGGAGGGGGCAATTTTGAATTGGCGGTTTATCGCATTTTGATTTGGTCCCAGTTCTAACTCGGAACACGGTAACTTTGGAAAGTTTTAGAAGGTATGGGTGTGAAAATGCATTTTGTGTATTTGCGCAATGTATTCGTTATTGTTGACTTTAATTCCGAGAATTTATTTTCATTGTTTCCATGCAACGGATCGATCTATTTACTTTGAATGATGCTGCTGTTCGAGTATTATCTAGGGCATTTCTTCTCTAAGCATCACTTTTCCAATTAATCAGCCACTAATATTAGGTATATTTTTTGATGTAATACCCATAATACTTACCTTTTCAATTCGTTCTTTTCCATTTCGATTTTCCTCCTTTACTCGATGAATAATTATATATATATA